TAAATCAGAAAGAGAAAGACAAATATTGTATAGTAATGCATACATATGAAATATAGAATGATGGTACTGATGAATCTATCTACAGGGAAGCAGTGGAGATATAGACATAGACAACAGACTTTTGAAGCTGGGGGAGAAGGTGGGATGATTTGAGAGAGTAGCACTGAAACATAGAGATTACCATATATAAAATAGATAGCCAGTGGGAATTTGTATATGACATAGGGAACTTAAAGCTGGTGCTCTATGACAACCTAGGTGGTGGAATGGGCAGGGAGGTGGGAGGGAGGTTTAAGAGGGAGGAAACATATATGTACCTATGGCTGATTCATATTGTTGATGTATGGCAGAAACCATCACAGTATAGTAAAGTAATTATCCTCCAATTGAAAATAAAATGTTTTAAAAATAGCAACAACTATGAGTCCCTTTTACTGACATTTTCAGATGTTTTGTTTTTCCTCTCTTGTATTATTTCCATTGCTGATTTAGGAAAAAAGTGATCGATGAATGTGTTACTTAATGTTTTCATTACTATCGAGGTATAATTGAATCAATAAATTTACATATAACCTGTCAAAAGCTTTGGAGTTTGGGTATGTTGTTACGAGTAATTTCACATGGTCAGTAAGGTTTTTTGAAGGGTAAAAATTTTAGTATTTATTTTTCCCCAGAAAGAAATTGTATCTGGAAATTCTCAGGGAAAATCCATTTTGGTTACGTGGCATTAAGGAATTAATATACTTACCTATGTGTATACTTTGGATGTTGTTGTGTTTGTGAAAGAGGATTTCTGGGTTTCTCCATAACACTGTGTATGCTGGGGATACTCTTGTGTTTGTGTACATGGCTACACATCTGTGTTTTGCTATAGCACTTTTTTTTTTCTTGGAGTTGTAAACAAATTAAATTATCCTGGCCCAAATTGTGTCACATTTGCTGAAATTATTGAAGTTTTTAGCAATGAAATATCAGAAAGGGAACTTGGGTGTTTTAATTTTCAAGAAATGTTGAGTTCAGAAACTCTAGTATAGCTGTGTTTCTTAACAGGCTGATTTTATATGCTTGTAAAGAAATTGGGCTTTTTATTTCTTGAATCCTAAATCTTCAAACCTCAGGCAGTGCCTTATTTTCACAGAGATGCTCAAAATGTAATAAGTGACACATATGGAATAAAGTTATCAATAATGGAGACATAGTATTATTTGAACTTTTTTTTTGATATCATGGTTTAAGGAATTAAATTTAAATAGTACTTTTTAATTTTTATAAAAATTGAGAATAAATTAGCCCCCAAGATTTTTCTTTTACTTATGTCTTATAATTTTAGTACATTCATAATATTGTAAAGTGACCAAGACAAATTCTGGAAATTTATTGATGACACAAAGTTGTTTTTCTTATGTAGCCCCTTTTAGGAAAGTGAAAACTGTACTGGCTTGGAGCTTTCTGCTTCATGCACCTTTGCATTTATAATTAGTCTAGTTTTCAGGTTTTAAAGTGGCTTGTTATAGGCTGTATATTCTTAATTTTTTAAAGATACAGTTAATTTTCATGCACTGAACATTTTAATTTGGTATCTGGTGTACTGATTTGAAATTTAGTTTTTGAACTAAGGACTCATAAATACAAGTGCAGTTTATATTGTTAGTGCTTCCTTCATGGATACTTCTAATCTCAATGGCCCAATTTTTGCCTTTCATATCATCAATACTCGGAGAAAAGAGTTTGTGTTTTTTTTTTCAAATAAAGAAATTTTTTAAAAAAAAGTTATATACAGGACTATAATGTCTGGGAGAGGAAGAGGCCAGAAGTTTATTGTTTAAAGAATCAAAATGAACATTCACATACACTGGTGTTCATTCATTTATTTGTGCAAGAGTGCTGGTCATGTCAGAGGTATTTTGAAACGGTTGGTTCAGTAATTTGGCCTACTGTCTTTTTTTCTCTATAACAGTTTTTCTGTTTTCTACTACACCTTGCACATCCACCAATCCAAGACACCCTGTAGGTGAGTATTTTTCTAGTTATCAAATGGCATCACTTGTTCCCAAGACAGTTGCCGCTTCACTAAAACTAGGCTTTATTTTTCTCCTATGAAATATTTAATTAATTGATTTCACAGAGTGTATCTTATTCCATGGGACTTCCCTTGTGACTCAGTGGTGAAGAATCCGCCTGCCAATGCAGGACACCTGGTTTTGATCCCTGGGTCGGGAAGATCCCCTGGAGAAGGAATTGGCAACCTACTCCAGTATTGTTGCCTGGGAAATCCCATGGACAAAGGAGCCTGGAGGGCTTCAGTCCATGGGGTCACAAAAGAGTCAGACATGGCTTAGTGACTAAACAACCACCACAACTATCTTATTCTACAACTTCTAAAATTACCTGCAAACTGCTGAAGAGCTGACTTTACATTTAAAAACACACACACACACACACACACAATATGATTAAACTTTTTAATCAGTTTTTAAATACTGTCCTCAGAGTCTATTCTTTTTGAAATTTCATTTCAAAAACAGGAGAATTAGGATAGGTTGACTATTTAAAGAAAATACAAACGTTTATTTTAACATTCAGAGTTAAAATAGAATAAGGAGTTAAGAAGGAAATTTGTTTTAGTAGCATTTTAAAATTTTTCTGGAAATTAAGGATGTTTTTCCTTTAAAAGTTTCAGAGAAAACTATTCCCTGATTATTGATATTGCATGTAATTAGATTAATTCTTGATTCATGTAATTATATATTCATGGACAAGAAAGTCTGAGCCTTTTTATTTTTTTATATTTATCTTAGACTTTTTTCCTGATTATTTTTTCCCCTCTAGGTTTTCAAATATAATTTCAAAAAGTTCTAATAAAGATGCTTTCCTAAAGTCTTTGGAAATAAATAGGGTAATGAAGTATCATTATCTTATTCAGTGTTCTAATTTTGAGAGGTTTGAATGAGAAAAGGAAAGAAATAGAAATATCCCTCAACTCTTTTACAGTTGGTGATACTTATTTTATATATGTAGTTCAACCTTGCAGATATGTTTGAAACTCCTACATTACTGCACTGTTTAACTTATGGTTCTGGAAAATTGTTTATTATCATTTAAACTGTTGCTTTGCCCGTACTCTCGGGTCTTTGCTAGCAGGTAGATGTTCTCAGTCCATATATTAGTAGAAAATCTAACCTACAAATACTAGAATTAGCAAGGCAAATTTAATATTTAAAAAAAGGCATGTTTTCTCATCTTTCCCTGGGCATGTGGTAACCTGCACGGCTGAATTATGTAGGTAGTTTTGTGAGGTTTCTTAGTAAGCTGTAGAGTTTGTTAGTCTTTTTCATATAATCACCTTTTTCTTCCTGCTGGCTTTCCCTTGTTTTATCAGCAATAGCCATTGGTCACTGTCTTCTACATACCATGCCTGATTTGCGTGGCATGTAGTAAAATTAAAAACATTTTTTGGAATCAAATACCTCTCTTGCCTTTGTGCTCCTGTGTGGTTCCTTCCTTTTGCCAACATTTATGCTTGTTTTTCTCTTGTGAATCTTCTACATGAACTTTGGTAAATAATAATCCTTGAATTTCAAGTTCCAGGATAAGAGGGTGTGTGTTTGCAGAAAAGATCAAAATTTGAAGGTCCTGAAGGAGTTGTACTGTACAACTGTTCTGGATTGGTGGATATGCAAATGTTAAAAGAAGGGAAGGAACAAATATTACTTTTGATGTGAATGATCATAACATCTACATTTCCAATTAGGGGGAAATTTTTATTTTAGCGTCTTTCATCTGGCTTATTATTAAATTGGCAGCACATTTTATTTTACACAGGAGATTTAAAACTATATAAAATATAATATTTGAAAAATTCGTGCAAGTGGTAGGCTTACTCATTAAAGAAAAATAGTCCTTCTGAATCTTAGAAATGTTTTGATAATCATTTAAACTATTTGGTTCTCATTTCTGTATCTTGCACATTACATAGGCTGATTGAAATGTGTTTAAGAGAAGATAGAGAATTTTAGAAGTAGAATTCTTATATTGAAGAGAGAGAGACAGGTTTATTTTTTTCTGGCTGCACCACATGGCATGTGGATCTTAGACCCCAACCAGGGATCAAACCTGTGCCCTGAATTTGAAGCATGAAATCTTAACCACTGGACAGCCAGGGAAGTCCCTGATAGTCAGATTTTTAACTTAAAGGTACTGAAGAGATGTCATATTAACCTGTAAGAATTTATTGATGGACTATTGAGTTGTTGTTGACTTTTATGGAAAACGGCAGTAGTTCTGTCTGGCAACTTATTAATTGCCAGCCTGGTCTTTATTTGCATGTGTTGGCAGACTGTGACTGAAGCTATGGTTAAGACTCTTTTTAACACCTGGGGAAACTTTATTTTCTACTTTCTGAAGTGAGAGTGTCTCATAGTTTTTTGCTAATTTATTTATTGCTTTTTAGAGATTAAAGGTATTTTGTGAGTATTTTATAGAAGATTGAATTAAGGTTATGGGAGGTAAACAAGTGGTTCAGCCGAATAGTTTTAATTTTAAGCTTTAGGGTGGCATATCTTGGTAAAATATTTAATCCATATGTTGAGTGATTTTAGGCAGTGTGCACAAACATGTAAACTATGTCTTCTTTTTCTTCTTTGTGCTTCCTGATAATCACTCTTACGTAGGTGACATATAGGTTGCATGCTTATGTCTTTATTTGCAGCATTATAGTGGTGTTTTACTTTATGTGATAGAGAGATGGAGCAATATGATACCTTTACACTCTTAATACATACTGAGTAGGAAGAGTAACAAAAAATTCTCCTTTTCTTAGGTGGGATAAGGGTAGATACAAGTTAAATGTATGGTTTGTGCATTATGTCTTGAACAACTTAAATATTGAGGCTGACAGTGATAGTAACAGGCCTGACACATTTAATGTATTGGGAAGTTACTGTGTAGACTTTAGAATAATTTCTACTTGAATTTTTAATGCCAGTTCTTTCCTTAATTAGATTTTTCGTGAAGCTCGAAGAACAGTACCTAGTATTGTTTACATGCCTCACATTGGTGATTGGTGGGAAGCTGTCAGTGAAACTGTGAGAGCAACTTTTCTGACTCTGCTACAAGATATACCGTCATTTTCACCCATATTTCTGTTGTCTACCTCTGAAACCATGTACAGTGAACTGCCTGAAGAGGTAAGAACTGACTAAATATTTATGTTTTCTTATGGTTTTAAAATAGTTTTCCTTGTAATTTGACATATTTTAGTTACCATAAAATCAATACTGTCAAGGTTCATGCCTTGGTTTTACCAAATATTAGCCATGTGACTTGTTTGTTTTTTTTTTCATGTGACTTGTTAATTAACTTTTTAAGTTTCAGTTTGTTATTTTTTGATGTATATTTTGATATATTCCGCAGTGTTGTTATGAATTATGAGATAATTCATGCTTAGACTGGACTATGATGTATATAGTAACCACTAAGAACACCTTAGCTTATCGTCATCAGTGCCATTATAATGATCCTTCTCCTTCTTACCGTCTGTTAGATTATTTGGTGGGATTTGACCTTTCCTTTCTTTCATTGGTAGCATCCTGTTGTGCATATTTTTAAAACCTGATATTTTGCATTTGAATTCAAATCCAACTCAATAGTAAAGAATACCTTAAGGTAAAAATCACAGTTGTTTCAGGAAAAAATGAGATCAACTTGTGAATGAAATTGCTTTTTAAGAAGTTATTTTAACATTCTGAGCATACTAGGTTTTGAGATAATCTCTTTTAGAAGTGCTTAGAAATATTTTGCCCAAGCAACACAGTTCTTATAAAAGCTTTATATGTTTCAAATTTTATAGTCTAAATCTTGATTATATAGAATTTTATGATTCAGATTTTTTTTACCAAGTTCTTTTGTTCTGTTTCAGCTCTTTTTATATATCTTGCTAAAGTGAATTTGTACAACTTACTGCTCTTGTAAGAAAAGTATATTAAATGTAGAATATTTCTCTTTTTTTTATTCAGAGTCTGATATTATTGAGACCATTAATCAGAATTTTTTTTTCTTTAATCACAAGGAGTGGTAAAGTTTAGTGGAAAGATGTGTGCAGTAATAGTCAGAAAAATACACTTGTTGGTGTGACATAATATATGTGAATTTATTTTGGAAACTACAGAGCTACAAAATGTTTGGTATTATATTAGTATTATGAAGTAGGAATGCTTTTGAAATGATTTAGGAGAATGGACTGAACCTGGACATAACTGAACGTAGGAGCTGCATCTTAAAATTTGATCCTCTCAACTAGTTTTATTATAATTTTATAAAAATTAAAGAAAATTAGAATAATTAAGCATTCTAGGCAGAAATATATACTTGCCTGAAGTGACCCTATATTGTTAAAAAATTTGTAAATAAAAGTATTACTAAACCTATCTTTATGATACAGCAGTTTTAATTTTGCATATTCTTGTTTATTTGCATGTGATTTTATTGTTAGTTTTATAAAAGCTAACATTGCATTATATACATTTTCAGTGTTGCTATATTGTTATACTTTTTTTGTGAATTCCAATATCCTTGATTAATAGCTAAAATACTAGAAATTTACTAGCATTGAATCCTAAAATTTCAGCACCCACCCTCCCATCTTCTGTATTCTTCACCCTTATTATACCAAATAGTTACTAAAGGTATCAAGGATAGTCACTGTGGGACAAAGTGACACACTTATTTTTTTTTTCCATTTATTTTTATTAGTTGGAGGCTAATTACTTTACATCATTGCAGTGGTTTTTGTCATACATTGACATGAATTAGCCATGGATTTACATGTATTCCCCATCCTGGTCCCCCCTCCCACCTCCCTCTCCACCCGATCCCTCTGGGTCTTCCCAGTGCATGAACTGATTCAAATGAATTCTTTTTAATGGCTGAGTAATATTCCATGGTGTATATGTACCACAGCTTCCTCATCCATTCGTCTGCTGATGGTCATCTAGGTTGCTTCCATGTCCTGGCTATTATAAACAGTGACACACTTATTAGTGGGGTGAAGATTATGGAGATTTTGTTAGATTACTGGTTACAATATATATTTTATATTAATTTATATTAGAAAAGCCTCCTCTGCCCCAAGCCTTTCATTTTAATTTCAGCTTTGCATTAGTATATTGTTCTGTTTCGGTCACAGACAAAGATAGTAGTGAATAATACTTAGTGCGTATTGATAAATATTTGGTTAATAAGTAAAAAGCATAGAGAGTTGCCAACTGAGTGACTAGCTTATTAGCAAGGTGCCAGATTGATGGAAGAAAAACTAAGTGATTCTAAAAGAAAGAAATGGCCAGTTACTATAGTGTATTTAAGAAAATTCAGTGGTAAATTAAAATAACAGTAAGATACAGATTAAAAAAGAAGGGTTTCATAAACTGTCTTTAGGACAGTTCATAGTAATAGATTTAAATAAAAAACATTCATTTAAGTTCAGCAATGCCATTTATAGATAAGTAGTTTTTCATACATAAACAAAAAAGATGGAATACAAACAGCACAAAAAGTATCATAACCTTTCTTCATGGACAGAGGTTTTAGGAACAGACACAAAGATACAGCACAGACAACACAAAAGATACAAGAATATTTATCATAGCTTTTCTTCATAGATTGGAAACTAAATATTCTATAGTAGGGGATTGGTTAGATCATAGTAGATTCCTTCCATGAAATACAGTGAGACCATTAAAAATATTGATGTAGAAAACATTTAATGTCATGGAAAGATGCTTGACTATATTGCTAAAAATGATAGGCATTGTATCAGTATGTATGGCATTATCTGGGTTTATATAGAAATAATTATGTATTATATAGTCATATATATAAATAAAACTATATGTAACTATTAATAATAGTAATTATCACTGTATCTTAAGATTTTAGTTGTTTTTGTTATCTGTTTTCTAAATCTTCTGTAATAAATGCTACTTACTGTTCTCATCAGGAAATAAACTCATTCAGAGATGAAAAGGTTCTCTACTCAATTTTTAAAAACAAAGTCATCATGGGGCTAATAGGGATACAAAAATGTTTTCTTTCTGTGGGACAAAGTGACAATTTCATCCTTTAGAGCCCTTTTAAAATTCTCTTGTAAATGTGTCTTTGTATCTTTCCCTCTTTTCTAAGTCCAGAGTTCAGTGTCGCTCAGTCGTGTCTGACTCTTTGTGACTCCATGAACCGCGGCACGCCAGGCCTCCCTGTCCATCACCAACTCCCTGAGTTTACCCAGACTCATGTCCATTGAGTTGGTGATGCCATCCAACCATCTCATCTTCTGTCGTGCCCTTCTCCTCCTGCCCTTAATCTTTCCCAGCATCAGGGTCTTTTCAAATGAATCAACTCTTCGCATCAGGTAGCCAAAGTATGTAGTTTCAGCTTCAACATCAGTCCTTCCAATAAACACCCAGGACTGATCTCCTTTAGGGTGGACTGGTTGGATCTCCTTGCAGTCCAAGGGACTCTCAAGAGTCTTCTCCAACACCACAGTTCAAAAGGATCAATTCTTCTGTGTTCAACTTTCTTTGTAGTCCAACTCTCACATCCATACATGACTACTGAAAAAACCATGGCCTTGACTAGACGGACTTTATTTTTCGTTCTATCTTAAATATTATATATGAATGTGTTTCATAGTAGAAATAGTAATATTAGTAGAATAATATGTTTAAGTAAATATGCATGTACTGGAGGGAATATTTTCAAAGTTTTTTTTACTGATGAGGCATTTCATTACCCTCCAAAATTGGAAATCATTGTTCTAGATGGACTGTTATCAAATTGTGATCCATGTAAGACTTTCAGAGATTTGTCACATTCCTCTTTTTTTCCCCAAGCTGTGTATCTTATATTATTTTGTTTATTTTGGCTGTGCTGAGCCTTTGTTGCTGTGCTGGGTTTTTCCTAGTTGCAGGGAGTGAGGGTACTCTTGATGGGAAGCATGGGCTCTCAGCATGATGGACTTCGGTCGCTGTGGCACATGCGTCAGTGGTTGTGGTTCCTGGGCTCTGAGGCACAGTCGCAGTGGTTATGGTGTGCAGGCTTAGTTGCTTTGCATCATGTGAGATCTTCCCAAACCAGGGGTGGAACCCATGTCTCCTGAATTGGCAGGCGGATTCTCTATGACTGAGCCACCTGGGAAGCCCTGTGTCTTCTTGAATATGGGTTTTCTTAATGTATACCAATCACAACAACATTATTGTAGCAGATTGAATGCAGAAGCAGAAAATGAGAATCCAGTTGTCTTTCATTAAGCCACACATTAAAGAGATTTGAAGAAATGTAGAATAGTGTAACTTTTCTCACTTCATTTTATTTTACATATATAATATTTTATATTTTGAAAAAATATGTCTTTCAAAAGAGTGTTTTGTTGTTCAGTCACTAAATCATGTCCGACTTTGCAAACCTGTGGACTACAGCACATCAGGCTTCCCTGTCCTCCACTATATCCTGGAGTTTGCTAAAGTTCATGTCCATTGAGTCAATAATGGTATTCAACAGAATGTGTGTTTTAAAATTTATCTTATTGAAGTATCATTGATTTACAGTGTTAATTTCTACTGTGTAGCAAAGTGATTCAGTTTTACATACATTCATATTCTCTTCTATTATTCATTTTATATGTAATAGTTTGTATCTGTTAATCCTAAACTCCCAATATAACCCTCCCCCTTGGCAACCACAAGTCTGTTCTCTAGGTCTGGGATTCTGTTTCTGTTTCATAAATAAGTTCATCAGAATAATATATTTTAGTGTTGACATGTAATAGGTTTTAAAAGAATACATTATTTGGAAGGTTCTTAGTTTTAATTTTTAGTACATAGATATTGGCTAATATAACCCAGGTAAACAAAAGCTCTTTTGGGTTCTGGAGTAATTTTTAAGAGTTTAATGAAGTGTGGAGACCAAAACATTTGAGTCTCTAACTGCTACCACAAGCTCTTTGGGAGGAGGGGACTGTCTTACAGCCCTTCACTTCCTGATACACTGGAATTGCTTAGTAAATGTTTGTTACATGGAAAAAGAAATTGACCACTGAATTACCACAAAGGCTTTACATAAGTCCTGCCTAAACTCAATCCTTTTTTTTTTTTTCTTTTTTCGCAAAATTCTAGTGTAAGTAATATACTTCTGGGGACCTTGAAGATTTTTTCTGAGAACAGCTGGAGAATTTCAGTTGGGATATATGAGAATTACAAATTATTTCTATTTAGGAGAATTAGGAAAAAAGAGTCCAAGGTTGAACAAAGAAAAGAAAAGAGATTTTTAAACAAGGAAGCAGATAGAAGTAGTTGGCCGTTCTTAAAATGTTGTGGTATGACTCAGCATTTTCACTCCTAGGTAACTACTCCAGAGAAATATAAACATACATTCACCCAGAGACTTGTACACCAGTGTTCCTACTAGAATTATTCTTCATAGTGGAAATAACCCAAGTATTCACTAATTGGTGATTAGTGAAGCAAAATGTCATATATACAGAGTGAAATATTATTCAGCAGTAAGTGGAATAAACTGCTGACACATTGTCCAGCATGAGTGAACCTCAATACATTATTCTAAAAGTGAGAAAAGCTAGGGACAGAAGACTACCAGTTCTATGATATGCGATTTCCAGAATAAATGAAATCTCTAGATGCAGAAACCAAACCAGTGGTTGTCAGCTTGGAGTGAAGCGTGGATAGACTTTAGATAGGCACAGGGGAACTTTTTAGAGGTAATAGAAATATTTTTTTTTTCTGTTAAACAATGATTTTATTGCTTTAGTACAATAGACAAATTTATGCAACCAGGGCAGAAGCTGTGGATGACTCGTATTTCCAGTTGGGGGGCAGGACTCGTTTGGTCTTGTAGTATCGAGCCAACCGGTGAATACGGCTCTCAATCAGAATCAGACGGAATTTAGCATCTTTATCCTTTCTGTTCCTCTCCAGATGCTTTCGAACAGCAACAGCTTTCTTAATTAAATGATAGAGATCCTCGGGGAGGTCAGGAGCAAGTCCTTTGGACTTAAGAATTCTCAAGATTTTGTTGCCTGTCACAAAACGTACTTGTGCAACACCATGAGAGTCTCTCAGGATCACACCGATCTGTGAGGGAGTCAGGCCCTTCTTGGCCAGTTTGTAGATCTGCTCCTTCACGTCGTCAGAAGTGAGCTTCAGCCAGGTGGGGACGCTGCGGTGGTAGGGCAGAGCCGACTGGGACAAGCCCTTCCCGGGAGCGTGCATGCGACCCATGATGGCGGCGAAGTGGTAGCAAAAGGAGGTTCTTGGTTTTGAAACGCATGTGTGTAGTGGTTCACCTGTCTATATTCCACCTTTGCATACTCATTTTCCTTTTGTGATTATTATAATTAAAGTCACTGGTTTATTCAGCCACATAACATTCTAGATTCATTTGAACAACTGAAGTTGTGTTTACTCTTTTGCTTTATTCAGGCTGCTCAACTGTAAATTGTATTAGCTTTCTTTTAACACATATATATTTGGCCCTGTGTTAAATGTCAGATATTTTCATATTTAAAGAAAATCTTCTGAAATTGACATTATCAGCCATTTGACTTCAAGGGGTATCATTTCTGTCTATGTATAGTAGATTTTTACATACCCTTGGAAACCTCAGTCATTCTGAATCACCACTTTTAATTTTATATGTTTCCAACTGAAATCTGTAAGAGGAGAAATACTGTTTGTCTAGTTTAAAATGTGTTTTTAAAACCAATTTGTCTTTAAAATACATTGCTGGCACAAATAAGTATAAATAATAGCCCTGTCTATAGAATAGGGCTTTCAGTGCACACAGAGGTTAGATGGTTTCTTGTGGGGGGGTGGTGATAGGGTGTCACTTAAGAGTTATAGTATCACTGGTGGAAAGAAATCTTAATTTGTCATCAGGTCAAGTTTACATATTAGGCTTTCACTGGTGAATGTAAGTGTGGGAGTGAGAAGGAGCAAAAAGGAAACTCATGAGTCTACTCTCTGCTGAAACTTCGAATGTCTTTCTTAATGGTTGTGAACTCTCTTTACTTCACTGGCCATAGGAATAGGTATAGTCTGCATGCAGTCATTCAGTGTTCATTACTAACGAATAATTTGCTAATTTATTGTTTATTTTCTGCCCAGCATGTAGACATGAAAGCTCCTCTAGAATGAAAGTTCTTGATATCAACACTTTTCTTTTCTTTACTGGACCCTGAATAAATATGTTAGGTGAATTAAAGACTGTACTTGAGGACATACTGTATACACCTAGGTGTGCAGTGTTCTTGGGCATGACTGATAAGCAGGGCAGTTAGGCTATCCCAGATGGGAAAAAGTGAGCCGTGTTGGCACAGTAAATGCCAAGGCAGTCCAGACTACATGTTTCTGAGGAATTATGGCCTCTGGGAATCTGATAAATATTACCTTTTTCCTCTTAGAAAGAAATGCCATGGATACATTTATTGGTTTTTCTAATTTCAAGTGCTCTGTAATCATCTTCATAAAATTTAAGCATAATAGAAATGATGAGTGGTCACAGTCTCCTGAAATGCTTTTCAGTTCAGTTCAGTCGCTCAGTCATGTCCGACTCTTTGCGACCCCATGAATCGCAGCACACCAGGCCTCCCTGTCTGTCCATTGCCAACTCCCGGAGTTTACTCAAACTCAAGTTCATCAAGTCGGTGATGCCATCCAGCCATCTCATCCTCTGTTGTCCCCTTCTCCTCCTGCCCCCAATCCCTCCCAGCATCAGGGTCTTTTCCAATGAGCCAGCTCTTCACATGAGGGGGCCAAAGTCTTGGAGTTTCAGCTTCAGCATCAGTCCCTCCAGTGAACACCCAGGACTGATCTCCTTTAGGATGGACTGGTTGGGTCTCCTTGCAGTCCAAGGGGCTCTCAAGAGTCTTCTCCAACACCACAGTTCAAAAGCATCAATTCTTCGGCGCTCAGCTTTTTTCACCTCTCACAATAAGCACAGCTGGTACCCAGTGTCACTGTTGACATGCAGCTTTTGTGCAGTTCCCTTGGGAGCCAGTGCATAGGGTCAGCAGCTTTCACTGTAGCAGCAGGAATGGGCAGTGGTTTCCCTAAACACAGCACACTGCTTAATCTATTTAATCCAGAAGTTATTTTGTCATGATAAATAATAAAATTTAATAACTTGCATCTTCCAAAATTTCAGACAGTATCCTAAGGAAATTGTGTCTGGGTGAGGACGAGCTATGACTCTACTTGTTTTGTGAGTGTCACGCTTATGAGATTGGTTTTTACATAGCCTCGGTTTGTAAAGATAAATGGTTTGGGTTCATTTAAACACCTTATTTTTATTTCTTCTTCACCAAACATTCAAATGTTTATATGTGTGGTTAAGATAAATCAATAATGAAATGTAGAGCCTTTTGCCTTGTTATACAAGTCATTTTTATCACTTCACTTTGTATTTCATTGAAAGCAGCAAACCAAATCCCAACCAAATATCCACCAGCAATGGCAAACCTGGTGCTGTGAATGGAGCCGTGGGAACCACATTCCAGCCGCAAAACCCTCTCCTGGGGCGAGCCTGTGAGAGCTGCTACGGTGAGTTTTCTCCAGCAGGGCTTCTTCCCCTCTCCACCCCCTAGGCCCCCAGGGACTGGGCTGGCAGCATCCAGTGGGAGGTGTGGGGGTCAGCCCTGCATGGAGAGCAGGATAACAGCCTCAGAGTGAATAGATGCCCATCCTTACCTTCGCTTGGACTCTCAGTTTAGCTCTTAAGTTCCTTTGATTTGCTTTGGTGGTGTCCTGGGTTTGTTGAGTATTCCACAGCAGTGCGTGCTAAGCTGCATTCAGAGCTGTTTCTAGCTTTGTGTAAACCGTGGCCCCACAAAATATACCAATATACCTTTTGGTGTTTCTCACTATATTTTGACAAATTAAAGGCTCCACATAACTTTGTAGGAAGGACTTATTGCTAGAAACTGTTTATGGTCCTCAGACCAGTTCCCTTAGAGCACTGGCTTGGGAGATGCTGTTTTATGATACTGTTTGTCTCAGGGCCCCAGTGTATTAGTATTTTTCCTTGTTAGAAAAACCTACCTGATGCCAGCAGCATTATATTTGCCTTGAATGTTAAATTGAGTTGGTGAGATGAACTGTTAGGTAGTCGAAACTCTTTCTCTCTTTTTTTTGGCTGCACCTCTCTGCATGTGGAATCTTAGTTCCCTGACCAGGGGTTGAAGCCGTGTCCTCCACAGTGGTAATGCTGAGTCCTAACCGCTGGACTGCCATGCAGGTCCCAGATACATTTTTTATATTTCTTTAAAACCTCAAACAACAAAATAGTCTCTTAAACAGGGCTTTGGTGACACAATCATCCATATGTCCTTCCAGTCACAGCAGCCTGGTGTGGAAGAGGGAAGGACACCAGCGTTGACTAAAAAAATCTCCTTGGTGCCCAGTTTTTGTCTCAATAGCTCCCAGGGAAGGGAGTTAGCCCGCTGCACTGAGGACGCGGGGATGAGGGACGTTTCTGCCTCCGCTCCGTGCTCCGTACCAGGCTGCAGCATTAGAAAAGGCGTTAAAGCCTAATCACGTAATGAGCTTTCCTACAACCAAGGAAGAAGGTGTGAGCCGGACAGATTGCTGTCTTAACAGAAATAGCACATGCCTGGACAGATTGCTGTCTTAATAGAAATATCACATGCCTAACCATTTTCTCTATCATGAGGGTGCAAGGGGAAACACTTTGTGGAAAATTAGATTCTTTTGGTCAAAATTTTACATGGATTGCATAGCTGGTTTTGCATTAGGGAAAAATCTTAGATTTTGAACTTCATTTATATTTGAGTGAAAGTAGAAAGACTCCTAAAGAAATGCTAGTGGCTTAATGTGTCTTATTTTTGCTTTACAAACCCCTTTCATCTTATATGTAGTCTCACATATCCCTTTAAATAATTATTCCACCATTTTTATATGTGCATGACAAAAAAATTGAATTTTATAATCTTTTGAGGTCCATGTATTAAATTATCTATTATAAATTATATTTTAATATAATATACATGTCAAATTTATCTTTATAGAAAGAATTTGATGTTTTCTATTTATCTAATTGAATTTGAGTTAATTGTATAAAGAGAAAGGCATTTTTTAACATATTAAAATGACATATCATGATTAATTTGGATAAAAATACATATTTAAATACAAGTGAAATTTTATATTCAGAATCCAAAATAAGTCCATGTCCAATATTTAGAATTCTTAAAATTTGTGTTTAAAAAAACTCAGCTTGACTTATTTGACTATTTGGTTTTAAATTACAAGAGGGAACATTTTTAGGTTACAGTTTGCCAGGAGTCCCCCCAGAATAATACATGATGGGGTTCATGAGAAGTAGGCTGACTGTAGTGATCACTGTATCATCCTTTTTTTTTTTTTAATAATCCCTTTCCGACATTGTCTTGTGAAGTATGAGTTGACACCCTGATGTGCTGTTTGAACACGTTAACCTGATGAAGGCAACGTTGCAGGTCAAGGGCAGAATATTCCTAGGCAAACTTACAGAATTACAATAACTTTTATGTACCTCGTTAACTACACCATCAGTGTTTTCAGATCCATTGTGGGACTACTTAAATTGTGATATGGCAGTTATTTAAACTTCAGAGCAAAATAACACTACAGGTCTGTAGTGTTCAGCTCAGGAATAAATCAGCTGAGCTCTCAGGTCTTAATCATGCTGTGATCTCTGCTGCACATGCTCATTTGATAGGGACTTAGAATCTTGAAACGGATTCTGTTTCTAAAGAGAGAATAAGTGAAATAATTGTTTTATCTATTGATTAAAATAAAGGAATGAAAAACAGATAACCTATTTCTGTCCAACTTCTACCTTTATCTGTGGGAGTCCCTCTAAGCACCTTAAACCCTGAGCTAGTTTCTGAACCATAGATTTGGAAACCAGGATTTAGTTTAATACCTTCCTGATAACTTATCTCCAGAAATGTACACAATAGAGGATATTTTTAATGAACCAACAAAAATTCCTTCAGCAGCATAATGTGTAATAGAGGGCACTTAATAAGGGCCACAGGCATTTGACATATAGAGAAATAAATGGCTGAATGAAATCTGACTTGAAAAATACATGCATGTATCAGACGTTCCTGTTTGCTGGGTAAACTGGAAGAAGAAAGATGAGATTGTAAACTAAAGATGGCTTTGGACTATTTTTGAAATGTCTGTCTGTATATGTATTGCTATTACAAGTTACATCACATTCTTATTTTACTTACTTTTTCCTCTGTCTTTAGCTACACAGTCTCATCAGTGGTATTCTTGGGGCCCACCTAATATGCAGTGTAGGTTATGTGCAACCTGTTGGCTCTATTGGAAAAAATACGGAGGCCTGAAGATGCCCACCCAGTCGGAAGAGGAGAAGTTACCTCCTAGCCCAGCTACCGAGGTACACAAGCAGTGGTCTTTTTAGTGCTGAGAAATGCCATATTTTTCAGCGCCTGAATCACTCCTCGCAAACAGAAGTAGAGTATAGGAAAACTTAAAAATAAGCCAAGCTATTACAGCTAGCATAGTACTGAAATGTTTAGGGTACGTGTGGAGAGGGGCAGGGACAAATCCAGCTTTTTAAGGTATTCAAAATATTGGTCTTGAGAGATTACTCAGACAGAAGAAGAACAATGTGTGTGGGAGGTGTTAGCATGAGAAGAGAGCCTACAAGTTAAATATTGGTTTTAATGGCTTTTTTGGAAACAGTTTGCAACCTTTAGCATGTTGAAAATATGCTTTATTGCATAAAGTAATAAATACAAATTGAGCATTCTTCCTGTTCCTGAGCTATCATAGGTAAAAGAGGAGAGCATGGGCTCAATCTTGGGGTGAACAACAGTTTAAATATGATTTGGTAAAATTCTCATAGATGGCAGATAATAGGTATTTACCTATTGAGAACTAGCAAGATTTAAGGACCCTCACGTCAATATTTGGGACTTCCCTGATGGTAAAGAATCCACTGTAATGCAGGAGACCTGGGTTCAGTTCCTGGGTCAGGAAGATCCCCTGGAGAAGGGAATGGCTACCCAATCCAATATTCTTGCCTGGAGCACTGTATGGCCAGAGGAGCCTGGTGGGCTAGTCCATGGGGTCACAAGGAGTTGGACAAAACTAGCGACTAACACATACTTCAATATTAAAATAATAATAATGTTACTTCTGGCAGTTTTTCACTGTTGTGAATATGATTTGGGATTGCTAAGGTCAGTTTAGGAGGAAAAAGTATAGGATCATAGACACCCCACTTCCACCCAGTTTCCTTCTCTAGTCCCCACCTCCTACTCCAAAGTACACACTTTAAAATTCTCTCACCCTGTATTAAGTCATATATTCTTCAGTGAAAGACGTAAAACTTGCCCCTTTCTTTGAGCAGAGTGCAGCAGTGTGTATGTGACACGTTCTGGTCTTCACACGTTTGCTGGTGTCTGGTTTACAGGACCCGCGAGTTAGAAGTCATATGTCTCGCCAGGCCATGCAGGGGATGCCAGTCCGAAACTCTGGGAGCCCGAAGTCTGCAGTGAAGACCCGTCAAGCTTTCTTCCTTCACACTACATATTTCACAAAATTTGCTCGGCAGGTCTGCAAAAATACCCTCCGGCTGCGGCAGGCAGCAAGACGGCCGTTTGTTCCTATTAATTATGCTGCCATTAGGGCAGAATGTAAGATGCTTTTAAATTCTTAACCTTATATGTTGTGCTTCTGACCATCTTCTCTCTTCCCTCTCTCTCTCTTTGTTTTTATTTTTGTTTGCAATAAACATAAGTTCTTGTGTGCAGCCTTTTATTTGGTTTTTTTTTTTAACATTGTTTTGTCTGCTGCCATTTGTATCACGCCAACCTGAAAAGGAAACATTGAAACTTCTGCAGTCTTTGTGAGAAAGTAGTGCTCAGCAAAAGATAGGTGGGAGGTGACCTTACCCAGTGGGGTTTTGTGATGGAATTGCCTAAAAGCCCTTATTGGGGAAGCAGCTTTACCCATAAGGTAGAATAAGAATAAAGCTTGCCAATTTACACTAATGAGAAATTGTTCGTCTTTGTAAACTTCTCAGTTTCCCACAAACCCTTTACAGTTATATAATATTCTGGAAATTCAGTGTTTCATAACAAATTAGAAGATTTAGCAAGCTATAAATGAATTTTAAAGTCTTTTGGGTGAATTTTCGGAAAAACATTTAATTTTTACAAGCTAGTGTCTGAATTTGTGTTTGAGCATTCTATTTGTCTAGTTTGACTTCCATTTCATAATTATATGCCATATATATTAATATATAACACATCATTTTATTACTCTCATTTTCAACACATTCAGTCTTGCTTATGTTTGTTGTTGTTAGAACAAGTGTCATATGTTCCAGTGAATTGCAGGTTGTTCTCATATTACCACGTACCCCTAAATGTGTCCATAATTTGTGTGTGAGCTCTGATTCTAGCCTTGTTACTTTTAGTTACATTCCTGGTTAGCATGTTAGAGCCATGGAAGTTTTTTCCACTGTGGGATAAGAAAACTTGCTGTCTTAATAGAAGGGAAATCTTAAAGAAATCCAGTAGATATTTATCTGTGGGAAATTTCTTATTATGAGGTATTCCACTTTGATTTAAAGAAGGTATCTGTAAAAGGAGTGATGATTGAAAAGTAGTTTTTGTTACTGAAGATAATTTTCAGCAGAACAGTTGAAAGGCTTTAAAACGTACAAGTAAAAGCTTTAAAAGAAGAAGAGTGCTTTGTAAAGGGAGTAGAAATTGGAAGTAATCTCTGCGTCCCATGAGGGCAAACCTAGCTGCATGAGACTCGTATATTTGAGAACTTAGGCATATATACTGACGTTTCGTGCTATTTTTGTGCTAGTGTTTCTGAGTTCATGGATTTACATTGTCATTTTCTTACCATTTTAAGGAACTAGAAAGCATTTATATCTACCTAAACAGCTTAGCTGATTTAAAAGACATATTTTTATAAATAATTCCTTAAATCCATAAGGAATAAAAAATATTATGAGAAAGAAAATGAATGAAATTCTTGCATTAAAATTGGCCAGGCTCCAGGATCATCATTGTTTCTTTGAATGGAAAAGAAACCATCACCAACTTAATTGACTTCTCATTAAGCTTCTGTTAATTTCTCAGTTAATTTGCAAATTGCCTTTATTTTGATGATTCTTCAGTGAAGTATGTTTTTTTCTGTCACCTCATTTTGATTTGTTGCAGTTGAAAGGCTGTGCCACTAAAAAGGGTCAGGCCTGTATTGTATTTCTACAAACATAGCCATCATAATGATGATGATCATAAAAGAACAGAGGCGTTTGTTGTGATGAGATTCAAGGGTCATATTTTATTTTGTAGTTAGCTTCATTGATCAAGTTTATAGAATCAGATTCTCAGAATAATTTTACCTTGCAACTTAAAATGTAAAAGTTTCACCAGCCATGTACTCAGTCCTGGTCCCCGAAAACCAGCAAGCAGCTAATGAATTCTTCCTATCATCTAGGTGCTTCTTGCATCATCTCATATGTGTACCTTGTTACAACCTGTTAAGCAGATTTTTTTGATCTTGGCTTGTTAGTAAGATCAGGTGTTAAATAACCTGTCTGTACACAACCATGTTTGTGGTCCAGTGGGAGGGTAAAGCTATATGATTACTATTTTTTTAATATAAGCTTTCCTTGGTTTCTCAAAGGTAGTGGTGACCCTGTCCCGCCCCGTAAAAGTTAAGTCACTATGATGCAGTATGAATGCACTTTCAGATTAGGTGAAAGTTTATAATTCTAAAGGTATTGATGAATCAAGAGCTCCAATTTGTATGTTTAGTATAATTCTTCATAATGTTGGAAAAGGAAAATAGTTTTCCCCGTGAACTTGAGATTCTTCCTCTTGTAAGAACTACAGAAGTGGATGCCTATGGCTTCTGGCCTTGGCAGCACCACTAGTGCAGTATCATAGCCAGAGTTTGTGGGATGACAGATGGTGTAAGAGTGAAGAAGTAGGGAGCAGAATAGATAAATCCTCAATTATGTGAGGGGAGAGCATAGTCATACCTTTGAGTTTTCACGAGTTAATCCTTGTTTAGAGGAATTTTTGTTGTTAATAGCAGCATTCTCTGACCTTTATTTTCATTAAGAAACGGGTGTCAAAGAATACAATAGAGTGAGTAGGCAAATCTTTGTTTGCATGTCCATAAAGTATCTCAAGGAAAATGTATGTAAGAGTAGGGTCCTCCGAAAGGGAAACTTGGGAGGCTGAGGGAAAGGGGTGGGAAGGAAACTTACTACTGCATCTTTCTAAACTTTTTCAGTTTTGAGTCATGGGAATATATTTCCTATTCTTAAAAAATTTTAACCTGAAATAAACATATGGTATAACCAACATGTGTTTTATAGATAGAGATATAAAAATGATTTATAAAAGCAAACCCCAAAATACCTATTTATTTTAATAATATACCTTTATATGTGATTATGTAAGTCCATGCTGAAAATTACTAATATAAGTACAGAGCCTGAACCAGTTCTAACATGTAAATAGTGCTTAATACAAGTGGATTGCGGGACCAAAAACCAAAACACTTCATAAGGAGAAGTATGATGTCCTGGACAAGATGCGCAGACCGACTGCATGGTTGTTACCACAGCATCAGGTTTCAGACAGCCTGTCTCTTCTCCCTCTTGACACCCCTCCCCTCATTAAAAAAATGCCATGATGTAATGATGATGGTGTTCCTCCTTTGTTACTGTTATCAGACATCACCACTGAGTTTACTGGATAACTTGTCAAAAATCTGTAAAATCACCCAACACCTGATGAGCACATGGTTTCTATCTGAGACTTAGGATACAGAGACTGGCGTTAAATACGAGCAGTATGTTAGCATTCAATAGTTGAAGCAAAAGTTCCTAGAGAAGTGGATCCAAATGACTTAGGTGCCCCCCTCTGTAGCTTACATGAATAATTGTTTTTGAGTTGATAACACACTGGACTTTAATGATAGCACCATTCCCCAGTATGAATGTCTTCAAAGGGGAACCTGGAGCCTCTTTTCTCTGAACATGATAATTCAACTTCAGAAGTATCCCAGGGGCCCACATTTAGAAGAAACTTGTTATATATATTTTGAGTTTTCTAGAGGTTTCTCAGCAAAAGTTACTATTAATAATTATATAAAGTTTTTGAAATTTTAAGTTCTAACTTTAGGAGAGAACACTTCTGGCTTATTTATTTTGATAGTCTGTTATTTTAGTAAAAACTCGTCTTCAAATGGATGTTTTTAAATTTTTCTAAAGGTACAAAAATGGCTACAAGTCTGACCAAATCAACCCCATTCCCATTCATACCTTTTTTAGAGCTAACCATTGTCATCTGTGTCTAAAGTATCCAGAGATGACCATGTGTATCTCTAACAAACTAGGTGTCTTCTTTGTTTTTGTACAAATGTTAATGTGTACATTGCTCTGTACCTTGCCTTTTTTACTTGATGGATCTTGGAGGCCATTTCATACCAATTCATTGAGAGCTACCTCCTTTTATCAGCTGCATAATAGTCTATATATTTTGTACTTGAGCCAGTTCCCCTATTTTAAAACATTTTAGGTGGTTTCCAGTCACTATTATAAGTGATGTTGCAACAAATATTCTTATATAGATACCTTTTAAGACTGGTACATGTACCTTACAGGTGTGTGTATGCAGTGTGTGCTCAGGCGCTCAGTCGTGTCCAACTCTTTGCGACCCCACATGATCCCTAACAGTAAAACATCTGGGTCAAGCAGCTTTCATTTTGAATTTTGCTAGTCACTGCCCAGTTGTCCTTAGAAAAACTGTGATTTACTCTCCCACCACAGTGTCTTCAGAGTGCCTGTTTCTCTAGAACCTTGCCAGCAGTGTTATTGATCTCTGAAACCCTTAACTAGTTGGTAAGTGACATGTAAGTTATATCAGCTTGCATTTCTCATTTTGAATAAGGTAAAACATTTTGCATATGTTTGAAAACCATTTGTATTTCCTTTTTCGTCCACTGTTTTTGCCCTGGCCTGTTTTCTGTTAAAAATCATACCAGCTTGTGGGAACTTTTTGAATTTTAAGGTAGTTAGCTCTTGATCTGCAATTCAAATATTGGGTTGGTCAAAAACTTTGTTCAGGTTTCCCATAAGCGAGTATGGCAGAACCCAAACAAACTTTTTGGCCAACCCAGTATTTTCCCCCGTTTTGTCCTTGATTTTCTTGATGCTGTATTGGCCAAGCAGGTTTTATTTTTATTTATTTTTTTTTAAGTAGTTGAATCTTTTTTTTCTTTTTTTAATGGCACATCGGTTTTGTGTCTTGTTTAGAAATGACTTTATAAGAAAATTTTCTCATAAGAAAATTCTATGAATGGTTTTATTATGATAGCAATTTTGAAGGCCCATGCGGGAGACCTGGGTTTGATCCCTCAGTTGGGAAGATCCCCTGGAGAAGGAAAGGGTACCCGCTCCAGTATTCTGGCCTGGACAATTCCATGTACTGTATAGTCCATGCGGTCGCAAAGAGTCGGACACGACTGAGCGACTTTCATGTGAGATAGTTTTGTGAATTTTAATTCACTATGTACTTTTTGCAAGCTTTCTATTTTCCCCTCTAATATTTCTACAACATCTTAGAAAGATAGCCATGCGTTACCCAAAAATGGGTAACTTTTTTCCAAGTTTACCTCAAGGAAGTAGAGCTCAGCCTTCCAGAAGCCACAAAAATACGCCACATGCTTGGTCAAGTGTTTGGAGTAAGATGAGGATGTTCTCGCTCTGGCTGGATTTTGAGTCTTTCTGGTTTCTGGGCATTTCTCAGTTTGCATTCTTTCCCTGTGTGCTTTTAATACATACTAATTAATCCTCTTTAAATGGAATTAGGTAAATAACTTGAGAACAAGGTTCTACTGGCCTGGTCTTGTACAGATCACAATTTTTTTTAACCAGCTTAAGTGTGGCCCTGAGCATCTATGTTTATGATCACTCCCTCCAGACAGAAGCTTTTTCTCTTTTCTGCTGGTATTCAGTATAATCGCTTAATGGTTGCAGTTTTTATGTTAAATAGTCTTAGCACCCACCTCTCATCTTGATTTATTCGTGGTTGAGACTGATTTTCTTGCCACCAACTATACTTCCTTTATAATGATGATTGATGAAACGTGGATCCTTCTAAAGAGCTTTGATCTCCCACTCAAGTGCTCTGTAAATTGTCACTTAGAACACTGCATAATTAATCCTACTAATTTAGTGAGAAATTAAAAGCAGATTAATATAAAGTGAAATGGTCTTTGGGTATTGTGTTGGTGACTCTTGATGGGTTTTTTTGATTATTGTCAAGGTGACAGTCATGTGGGAGTCGCTTTGGCAGTTTTCCTTTGGGCCTTAGAAACGAGTAAAGAGCGAAGTAAATCTTATTACTAACAATACAGTAATGGTTTTTGTCCAAAACATTGAGGAAATACTAAGATGATTCATTGATACTTTATTTTATTAATAGAATAATTTTCTCTTGTCCTCTTCCTAAATAGAACTTGAATTTTTGAGTAATACTGAGAAAGAATTATTACTATTAATTCATAGTGATGTGACAGGTGTTCAATCCTTGCAGGGTTTGGACTGCATGTTAATGTTTGTTTAGATTACTCCTCCAAAATATGCTTATTATATTTCTGCCTGTAACATCACTATTATTCAACAACAGGTGAAAAGCTTCATAGCTTAGTAATTTTATTTTATTTTTCCTCAAAGGAAATCAGCTGAGTAGGAGGAAAAGAAATTGGACCATTTATAGTTGTCAGTGATTGCATAGTAATTAGCCAGTGCTTGGGATACATAATTCAGATTCCAGGCTCTGTGTTATGTGCTTTGTCTATTTCAATATTTTTAAATGCTACTTTCCCACCTTTTTCTGTTTAGTAGTTACTGGAGAAGAATTTCCTTGATGAGAGGGTTAGAGCTTATGAAAAAGTTAATTTTTAATTTTAAATTATGTGAAGTTCCAGATTGAATTATACATTTTAACACTAATTGTGCAGAGAATCCCTATGGATGTCAAAACTTCCTGTGTATAGGCCTAGAAATGTTGTCTCAATCACAGAAAATCTATAGGGACATTTTTGACAAAAGGCATAAACAGCAGAATCATATCTGCTAAAGCTACTCTGTTAAGCTTTATAAAAATAGCTGCAAATTTAAAAAACATTTCAATATATGTATTTTGGTTACTTCAGACTCTGTAACTTAACTCTTGTATGAGATGCAGCCATCTTTCACATTTATTCTTCATCCTAATGACAGCTAATTAAAACAGAGTGTGTTGTCTGCTTTATTTTTCTCTGAAATGACTGTGATATGAACTTTGTGAACAAATATCCATTACAGAATTTTACTATTCTGACTATTGGATGAAATACCTGTCTGCATACAGGAAACCTTGTCAGTCTCAGTGCTAATGACATCATAATAGGATACGAAGGACAGAAAACTAGTGATAAAATCAAGTGGCCCATTTTTACTTGGGGGAGGCTCATCTAATGGAACTGAAGTTAATCAAGATAGATGAAGACTCCTCCATAGAGATTCATTCCATCGAGGTCAGGGCTGGTCACGTCTGTTGCCTTTTGTCATTTTTGTCATTTTTGTCTTCCATGCCAGATTTATCTTACATTAGGACTGATAACACCTCATATTTTATGGAAGTTTTTCTACTATAATATAGAAATGGCACAGCTAAACAGGAAGCATATTTCCACTATTTACAGATGTGCGAACATGGAAAGAAAGCATGTGCGTGTAAGATGTGTTAGCTGTTTCATAAGGGACTTTAAAGCGAGTGTTCCCCAGGTAAAACCCCATTCAGTAATTTGGAACCAGAACTGGAACCAGTTTATTTTTAAACCCCAGAGGAAATCATGAAGGAAACTGGAGGATTTTTTTGTACTGTTTTTCACTTGTACCTTTTATTTCTGTCGTGTGTGTAGCATAGGCAGAGAAATCAGCCTCACTGGTTGTCTCCGTGTTTCTTTCTCCTCAGATGCAGACAGACATGCGGATCTATCTGGAAGTCCCCTGAAAAGTAAAAGCACGAGGAAGCCTTTGGCATGTATCATTGGGTATTTAGGTGGGTATTTCTTAATAGAAGAAAAGCTTGGAGAACAGTATCTGTATCTTATCACCGGCTACTCAAAATTGATATACCTTTATTAAATGTAAACCTTTCAAGTAGCTGAAATTGGATACCTTCCTGTGAATAGTCGATTTATTTTATTTGAGAAGTGTTTGATTACCAAAACACACAGAGAACATAATACAGAGTTAGAGATAGGTTTACTTTTCCTAAAAATGTAATTGAATAAAAATGCAATGTGTATTTATGTATATAGATACAGATTAAGCAAGAGGAAGAAAAAAAATCACTAAATTATTAGAGGAGGAATATTCTTTTTTTTTTAATTGAAGTATAACTGACTTACAATGTTATATTAGTTTCAGGTGTACCACATGTATGATTTGACATTTATACACATTACAGGATGATCACCATGATAATTCTAATTACCGTCTGTCCCCATCCCAAGTTATTATAAAATTAAGGATGAATATACTTTTTTTTCCCTTTGGCTGCGTCACATGGCTTTCAGGGTCTTATTTTGCTGACCAGGGATTAAATCCAGGCCCAAGACAATGAAAGTGCCGAGTCCTAACTACTGGACTGCCAGGGAATTCTTAAGGGTGAATTTTTTTTTTTCTTTTAAGATTTTTTGATGGGGACCATTTTTAAAGTCCTTTTTGAATTTGCTACAATATTATTTCTGTTTTATGTTTTTGTTCTTTTGCTCCGAGGCATGTGATATCTTAGCTCCCCAGCCAGGGATTGAACCTGCACCCCTTACGTTGGAAGGTGAAGTCTTAGCCACTGGACCACCAGAGGAGTCCCAAGATGAATATTTTTAATATTTTGATATAAACCCTTCCACTATTTTCAAACCCACCTCACCTCTTCCCTTAAACAGAGAAAGATTCATGTACTTTTTTTTTTTAATAAAAAGAGATAAAACTGGTATTTAAACCACCTTTAAACAATATTTATAGTTTTGATGTACCAATTAAGGTTACTTGAAAGGGGAGCATTAGTATTGCTTTCTGGTTTTTATCCTGTTATTTAACTTGAAAGTCACAAAATATGATAGTTCTATTTATATTTTGAAATATAATAATTAAGAATAATGTAATATTACCAAGAAATAACTTTTTGGGGGCAAAGTTTTAAGATAAATAATTTGTGGAATAGTGGTTTCTAAAATGGTTCCTATTATACCTAGGAGCTATAATGGCATGTTTTTATGATTCTAATATTCTTGCTTTTTCATCTTCTCAGTAAAAATGAACTATGTGCTCAGAGTTGCATTGAACCTTATTATTTTGTCAGAAAGATTTATACTTATGAAGTGTCCAGACTTAAGAGGTCCAGTCTTTTAAAAATCAAAGTGTAGCCTTAAACTTGGTATATTATCTGGTCCTTATCAGATCATCCTAGGAGCCAGAGTGCATAGCTTCCTCTTTGATGTTACTTTGCCACCTTATTTCCTGCTTTATTCCTTCAGAGCCTAAATACTTGCTTTGATATCCCCCTAAAATATCACATGGTTATCACAGGTACAACCTAACTCATGGTGATCTAGTCCTTGAAGTTTTCTAACTATGTTCCCTTGCAGGGCCTAATCCTAGAAGCCTCTCCCACGTTGCAAAGCAAAGTATCTGATCATAAGATGACCATAAGAAATAGAATATGACATTGCATATTAGTGTTTCCATAGGTAATTATATGTTTTTCTATGGGCAAACTGGTCTCTGTCTCTACCAGACAAACCCACAGTGGTGCTGTCCTTACTAACTGAACCACTTCCCTACAGAACTCATTTCTGAGTATTTACTATGTGCAAGACACTTCACTAAGTTATTTAGGGAACACTAAGATAAATACAGCCTTTCCCTCAAAAATCCTCCACTAGTGAGGAAGGCATACAGGTGAAGACAGTTGAGCTCTTCCTAAATTTCAATACGTAATGCTGATATCCTGGCCCTCGCCTGGGAAGAGAGTGTGGCTTGTGCATGGTTGGCATGCTGGGTGGCGACTCAGGATCAGTGAGCAGGTTCAGCTTTAGAGAAGAGGTTGCCTGGTTTTAGTAATAGTAATAGACGGAGGTCCTAAAATCCAGTTTCTGCAGTGTTGCAATTTATGTCCATCTACTTGATCCAAAAAGTATTAAGTAGTGCAGGGCTGTGTGACTGACAGCAACATAACTGCACTTAAACACACGTGTAGCACACACACCTTACAGTTTTGTGATAGTCAAAGCTTTTCTTCTGCTGCTTCTTAACACCAGTATTGGGAGTTGGGTGTCAGATTTCATCTGTATCTGTTTTGGCCGGAAGTGACTGACCCTGGCTGGTCCCGTATTCTGGGTGCAGGGCCAGAGGAGGAATCCTGTTTTCTCAGAAAGCTGCCACACACCAGATGTGCTGCGTGCCTTGTCCCTGGCGTGATGGAGAACAGAGGTAGTTTTTTTTGAGGCTGCCTCTCCAGATAGTCTTTGAATTTCTAATTCCTTCAAAAGTCAGATGCCTTATTCCCTTAGTAAATCTTGTGTTTAAGTGACCTCCTGAAGGGGCTTTTTTCCCTTCTTGTACTCACAACATGAAGCTCAGGGCTTCAGCTCGCAGGGGCAGAACCAGCTCCCTTTTGATAAACAAAGCCTTGGTAATAGCACTTGAAGTTGATTCATTATGCAAGTCCTTGGGAAAACCGGCTGCTTCGTAAGGAACCGGCTCTCAGCTCATTAAGAAATAGATGTGTGCCTGTTAGCCGGTGGTAAGTGCACACAGATTTTTAATACCATGTTCTGAGTTGAGAAACCTTTCTTCCCCCTGTCAGAGATCCATCCTTCGAAGAAACCTAATGTAATTCGATCTACACCAAGCCTGCAAACCCCAACCACCAAGCGGATGCTAGCCACCCCGAATCACACGTCTCTGAGCATTTTGGGGAAAAGAAACTACAGTCATCACAATGGCCTGGATGGTATGTAAGCCCAGGAATTCTGGGGGCTGATCCCATAGGCCAGGGCCTCTCTGCCCTTGACTGCTCTGGAGTGTCGTCTGCCATGTGTAGGAGTGTGTAACAGGCAGGTTCTTCTTCCTTCTGATTGGACTGTGCAGAAAGGGGGATATAAGGGAAGGCTGCGTGTACCACAGTGAAGACATTTTGCCAACTGCTATTTCTCCATCTTCTCAGAAGGGAGCTTTTTGCTCCCATTTCCTGTTAGGAGGCTGGTTTGGAAATGAAGTCTGTATTTAGCAGGTTGCCTCTGCTGGATAATTAATGCTCTCGCTGTGATGCACACTCACTGCTCACCTCTGTTTTCTTGAGCAGAAGGGATTATTTTTGCCTCGTGTCTGAGACAGCAGTGCTCTCTGGGGGGTTCTTTGGTGTTCTGTGGATCATTTTGAATTTGGCATTTGTCCCTGACTTCATTCACCTTATAAATTTTCTTAATTGCTCAAGAGTACTATAAGTCATGAAAAGAATTACCTGGGTGATGTCCTAAATACAGAAATAATAATTTGTTTGAAATGGGAAAACTGAGAAATATCATCTCTTATCCAAAGTACTTCTCCTGGGCTTGGCCATATAATGACTCTTCAGGTGGAATTGAATTATCTTCCCATTCGGACTATAAACACAAGCGTTATAAATCATCTGGGCAGTACATACTGTTCATTTCAATAGTCCTAGAGTTTGAAGCTGTCTTGATTGTTTAAATGTTGGCATTTATTTATGAATAAAACTCCAGGCTTTTCATGCCTTGTGGGACTCTAAATTCCTTCAGTGGCAGTAAGTTATTTATAATGAGGCCCTAGAGCAAGGATGTGGAGGAGACCTTCTAGTAATAATTTCCCATGGTGGTTTTACTTCTGTATGATTTTGATGGTCATAGTGATGTCAAGATGAATAAAAAATTGAGAGTGAAGAGTTTAGTTTGCATTTATAGGGTATCAATGTGCAGCAGATATGGCTTTGGAGAATTTAGCTACGTGATAGTCTTGCAGAAATACTTCCTTGTTAATGGGAATATCAGCCATCCTTGCCTCAATATGCCTGATGTCTAGTCAGCAGAGGTTCAAGGAAGGATTGTGTCAAAATGTGGAGACGGGATTGCGTTCCAGCTTTTCCTTGCCTGCAGCATGGGACCCTTAGATTCAACCTTAAATGGAATCAATCTTTCTTTTCCATCTTATCACCTCCCTGGGCAGTCTAGGTATATAGTCCTACTGCAGAAAGTAAGTTCTTATTTGTTTTATAGTTATATATTCTGTATGGTAAAAAGAGTCTTGTTGTGACTGATGTTGGAAGGGTGGCTTTTTAGTGTCTTTCTCCACTCACACCCCATGGTGATGGTCATTCTGGGCCCCAGTCCTACCCCTGCATTGTAGCTCCTTTTGTTCTTCCCTTGTATCACAGGACCTGTCTCTTTGGAATTTCTAGAAAGTGCCACTGTGTAATGCTATCTGTTTAGGGTTATTTGTCCCATTTCCTTCTGGATGGATACTGTGGGTTTTTTTTTTTTTTTCCCTTTTCCTTTTTTTTTTTTCTTCTTTTTTTTATTTGTTGGAGGCTAATTACTTTACATCATTACAGTAGTTTTTGTCATACATTGAAATGAATTAGCCATGGATTTACATGTATTCCCCATCCCAGTCCCCCCTCCCACCTCCCTCTCCACCCGATCCCTCTGGGTCTTCCCAGTGGATGGATACTGTTGTGAGGGCATTTATTCTCTGCTCTGAACAGGAGGCACAGACAAGAGCGCCCGATGAATCCCCGTGTTTATGTTGTCCAAGACCTTCAACCTTGTTAAGGAAAAGACACTTGTCTCAGTTTCAGAGGAACCGTAGCCATTGCACTTTTCTCAAGACCCATTTGTCTCTGCTTCCCTGTCGTGGTGCAGAGAGGAAGGCTGATTACCTGTGCCTTTCCTGCATTATCTCATCTGATTCAGTTGACAGAAGGTTCCAGGTCAGGGGACTTGACTGTTTTGCATACCATGGTATCTCTGCTGCCTGGCATAGTGCCTGGAACTTAGCAGGTGATCAATAAATGTTAGTTGAATAAATGAAAGTGATTGAGAAAAATGAGACCTGGAGAGGTGAATTAAATTTTCCAAAGTTACCAAAGTTGCATAAATGGGCTGGGGTTCCTATTCAGCTGTGACTGATTTCAGTCTGCTCTTTTACCCACTGTTATAAATGAAGTTGTGGCTCTCAAATGTGCTGTATTAGCAAAGTAGAAACTACATAAGTTATTTTAACAGCTCATTTAATATGAGAAATCAATGTGATAGATGTTGAAGGACAGAATGGGTAAACAGGGAACACTGTTGGACAGTGGGGTGGGGAGAAGAAACAACCGCCATCACTAGAGCTGGGGGAACAACATGGAGAAATGGGGGTCATCACAGCTAGAAGCCCAAAGAGCTGGGATTCAGACCCTTGAGGAAAGAGCACTGCTCTGTCTGTGCCAGCATCTCTCAGCAAGTGTGATGAGGCTGCTTCTGGGAGTGTGAAGTGAAACTGAGAACTGAAACCCACTGCAGCTGACAGGAACAAGGAGAAGCAAGTCTCTTGCCCAGCCTTGCAGGTACCCTCTAGCCCACCCCACATCACCTACTGGTGTAACAGGGATCTGAATGGCACAGGAGAAAAGCGTTTTCAGAGTCCCAACTGCACCCAGCAGGACAAAGCTGAGTTTAAGTAGATAGATGTGCAGCTGAGAGGCAAGAGGGTCACAGAAGCACATACTTTAGAAAATGTCCCCATTTTTGTATTCCCAGTGGACCTTTTCCTTGGGATAATGGGTCTATTTCTTACTTCCTTAGGATATAAGACACTGACTCACCTGAGTTTCCAAGGTCAACTCAAAGTACTAGAAAAAAATCTTAGGCTAATAGTGAATTTTCATGGGAGAATTAATACCATTATACACTGGAATTGATAGGCACAAATTCATGGAAGAGTCTTACTCTGTGTGATTCAATAATAAAATCAATTAGCACTGCTATGTAATTATCAGCATGTCAGACAGATGATCTCACCGGACAGGATGTTGGTGGACAGAACTCATCCAGCTGGAAGTGAAACCTGATTGTACTGGAATATCCAGCCAGGTCTCAGCTGTCTGCTGCTTCCTTCTGCTTCTTGCTCCCTTTGCTCAGCCTCCACCTTCAGTTGGAGGTTCTTCGTGGTGGGAAAAGAGCCTCTGAATTCCTGCTGGTAGATGGTTTTTTTCAGTTCAGTCGCTGAGTCGTGTCCAACTTTTGCGACCCCATGGACTGCAACACACCAGGCTTTCCTGTTCGTCACCAGCTCCCGGAGCTTGCTCAAACTCATGATGGTTTTTTACCTGACATTAAAAAAAAAAAAGACTGGGCAGCTTCTTCTTATCTTCTGAAAGTCACTGTCTTTCACCTGGCCTTGGCCCTTTAAAGGCCCTGGTGTGACTAGGGCCTGGGAGTCAGCATTCTGTATCTTTTTAACCCATGGTACCCAGCCACCCACAGACCTCTGTGACTGTCCTAAGGGAACTTAGATTCTAAGGGTGAAAACACAACCTGCACAGATAAAAAGCCTCATATTTTGGAGTCAGTACAGACCTACCCAGATCCATATCAATGTCCATTTATTTTAGTCTTTGTCGTCAGACTGTAGTTCCAGTGGTGGCCACATGCAATCAGAGTGCTTTTCAAACCCTGCCTCCGTGTCTGACTTAGACTTGACAGTCTTACTGCCAGCAAGCCAAACGCCTCCCACATTCGGTGACTTGGGTAACTGCAATGGCTGTGAGAACAGAAGGCCCTGAGACCAGTGGGGAGAGAAGAGGCATTACTTACCATGTCTGGGAGCCCCAAAGGGAGGGCAGCAGGGGAGATGGGATTTGTCTCTGCCATGGAAAAAAGAACATCTGACTGTTTGGCGTGAGATGGGATGAATTGCTGACTTCTCTGATAATTTCCTGTGTGACTTTGGGTAAATCATTTGGTTTCCATAACCATTTTTTTTCTTCTCTTCTGTAATACAAATACAGATTTCATTTGCCTTAATCAAGTTGTTATAATGATTAAAATTTTTCACTTACTTTATACCACTTGATCTTCCAAACACTTTATGAGGTAGATGTTATAACCCTCATTTTAATAATGAAAAACCCCAAGTTCAAAGAGGTGAAGGGATTTGCCCACAGTCACCCTGCTAGCAATTAGCAGACATGAGATTTTAAACTCCAAGTCCAAGGTTGTTTCCACTGGTGAATAAGGGATCCCTGATCTGTGTGTTGAGTACAGCACGCACCTGGGAGACATTTCTGGGTTTTTGTGTATCAGAGCTGGCTTTGTATTTGTAAACACAGAGAGGAACATAGAGGGCATTTTTCTTTGCTTAAACTGTGAACCATAAGCAAAGCCGTCAACTCCATCTCTTGCCTCTGCATAGCTCCTCTGCCTGTATGATACTCCCTCCTTTTTCTGGAACTTAGGGGATAGAAGCTATATTAGTGTCAGAGAGAGGGGAGAAAAAAGAAATAGAGAAAAACCACAATCACCTAAAGGTGAAATATGTTTCAATTATATTTCCAGTATTGACTCTGACGTGTAGTGATTGTTCATTAACTGTTACCCTGGAGTAGGAAATAGTAACCCTCTCCAGTATTCTTGCCTGGGAAATCCCCTGGACAGGGGAGCCTGGTGGGCTACAGACCATGGGGTTGCAAAAGAGTTGGACATGACTGAGCGCGCACACATAACATTATTAAGATTTCATCTCCTCCTTTGAAGAAGAACTATTATTGTTTTATTTTGAAGACTGTTAAGTTACCAAAGTTTTTATAGTCATATGTGAATTGTATATGAATAATGTCAATGCTTTCCTTATAACTTCATTTCTTACCTAAAGGTATGATTCTCAAAACAATGACTCTTGGATTTGCTTAAAGGTAAATGGATATGTTCCAGTGTATATTTGCACATAGAC